TCCTGATGTATTCTATTTAATTTTTAAAATCACCGTTTTTGACCCATCAAATTGACTTTTTGACTTTCCAGTGGTGGTGACTTACATTTAAAACAATACAAAACACTTTTTTGACAGTATTGGGGTTTGAACTCGGGGCCTCAGCTCTGCTATGTAGGCACTCTACCACTTGAGCCATGCCCCTAGCCCTTAAAAAAAAAAAACCAAAACTTTTAAATAAGTCTGTTGATCCTCAGATCAAAGTCTATTTCTAACATAAAAGCCTCACATAACTTTCAAAACTACTATAATAGTCCTTGGTTCTTTAACTGTTTTTCATGCATAGGTTATGTAGTTCGAAATTGGAGAAGTAGTACATTCAAATATTAACCAAGATTGTTCAGTATTTGAATGTAGCCAGCATGACACAGACCAGTGTCATTAGACACTATTAGCATAGTTTCATCCTTAGTCTGACTTTTAAATTACTACAAAACCTATAGTGATTATAAGTAATTCTAAAATTAATTTGAAGGGCTGAGTATGTAACAGCAGTAGAATGCTTGCCTAGCATGCAGAAGTCCATTGATTCAATCCCCAACACAAGCAGAAAAAAATTCTAAAATTAATTTGAAATCACAGAAGATACATAAAATGTTTTAAAAATACATCTTTGCATCTTTAGAGTAATCTAGATTTTAGTTTTGAATTATTAGTACCTATAGAAATAAGTTTTGTTTTAAATAGTAGTGTTTTTCATATCCAAGGAAGCAGTATTTATGTTCCTCTTATAAAATTAATGCCCAGCAATTATATACTGTCTTGGGATCATTGTAGAATGGTTTTTTTATATTAAATTATGGACTCAAAAATGCAACTCATTACTCTATTAATACTTTACATCCATGAAACATTCTTATCAATCAAAACAACATATATACATGTATATTTGCATATAAATTTATCATTTTAACTTATAATTCTGTGGTGTGTAGCAGGGATATCTATGGTGGTAGAAAACGGTTGAACCAGATCTAGGATACAGAACTGTTCTTAGTGTTGTTTCCACTGGTTTTACTATAGGGATGCATTTTAGTTTACCAAATATTTAAAAATCTTTAACGTAAAGAATTTTAATGGATATTTTATGGAATTTGTAAAAACATGGATAACTCTTTGGCTAAATTACAGTTACTGAACTACCATTCAAATGTGGTAAGAAAGATGGAGTTCTCATTTGAATATGCAGATGATTAAGTACCATCTTGGGGGAGAAAAGTACAGATGACTAGTTTGAGTTAAGTGTACTCGAGGTTTGGGAATAAAGGATAAAATGGTAATAGGCTTTAATAGGTACAGAAAACCTGCTTATTATATCACGTTATTTAATGATAGTTTGTTTTTCTTACTTGCCTTGTCTCTCTGAAGTATTGAATTTAGAACTTAGTAGGTTATATTTGTTGAGTGTTTTCTGTCCATCGGGCAACAATTTAGCAACTGTGGGGTGGCTTTTTGCTTTTTGTTTTTTGGTTGTACTACTCAGGGCTTCATTCTTGCTAGGCAGGTGCTCTACTACTTATGTCATACCTCCAGCCCTTTTTGCTCTTGTTATTTTGGAGATAACCAGGCTAGCCCGGACCACTATCCTCTAGTGAGGTTTTGTGGCTGACATTCTACCATGCCAAGCTTTTCTCTACTGAGATGAGGTCTTAACAAACCTCTTTGCCTGGGTTGGCCTAGAACCACAATCTTCCTGATCTCAGGCTCCCACATAGCTAGGGATGACTGACATATGCCACTGCACTGAGCTATTGGTTGCATTGGGGTCTTGTGAACTTTTTGCCTGGGCTGGCCTTGAAATGTCTGATCTCAGCATCCCAGACAGCATTATAGGCATAAGTCCCCTGCTTCCAGATACCTTTTTTTTTTGTTGTTGTTAAAAAAGGAAGTTTAAGCTGGTCACCAATGTCTCATGCCTGTAAGCTGAGATCCGGAGGATCTTGGTTTGAGGCCATCCCAGGCAAGTAGTTAGTAGTTAATGAGACTCCCATCTCCATAATAATTAGAGCAAAATGGACTGGAGATGTGGCTGAAGTGGTAGAGGGCTTGTTTTGCTGAGCACGAAGCCCTGAGCTCAAATCCCAGTCCCACCAAAAAAACAGACTTTACATTTTATGTACTGTAAAATGCTTTATGCATATTGAAGGATGCATAAAGTATATATGCAGTTTATAAAATGTCAAAACCAATGCTTATGTTCAGATCATAAACCAATACTAGGTTTAGAAGGGATCATTGCCAATACTTTAGACATTCTTATATATATCTCCTAATCCCCATCTCCTCTCTGTCGTGCCTTTTGTTTGTCCCAGGTAACCACAACCCCAGCTCTGTGAATTTTCTTGTCTTGATTTTCTAATTATTTTACCCTCATATATATAGATCAGCAGTTTGTATTTATTTTACAAGACTAAGTAACATGCAAAGAAAAACTCTGGACAAATTTCACAGTTCATTTCAGCAAGAATAATTCATGTATCAGACAATATTCAGAACCAGAAAGAGGTTTAGAAACTCTGCTCTACAATGTGGGCAATGAGTATTCATAGAAAATACTCTGAAGCAGAGTACAAAATAGCTTTTTTTAGTTGCAAGCTAGGCTTCTGTCTTATTTGGACATGATCTGAGCAGTTGGCTGCCTATGACTGAAGCGCAGCTGCTTGAAAGACGTTGACTGAGATCTGGCTTATTTGTTACAAAAATTACACTCCTAAGTCAGGTTGTAGTTCATTATGTAGTAACTGTAAGTACAGAGACAACCTCAAACCAGTAGCTTTCTGCTTATTTAACAAGCACAAACCTAGTTGGGTTTGAAAGGAAATATTGCCAGGAGAAAGTAAGTTGAACAGAGTTTCTAGATTATAGTTTGGCTTGATTTTTCTGAGAATATAATAAGAATCTTGTGGTTTGGATATAAAATGGCCTCTAAGACTCATTGTTGAAGGCTTGGTTCCCAGCTGGTGGCACTATTAAGAGGTAATTGGATCATGAAGGCTCTAACTTTATCAGTGGATTAACCCCTCAATGAATTCATAGCTGTTGAGTGGATTTTAGGAGGTGGGGTTTGGTTGAAGGAAGTAGGTCACTGGTGGGCATGACTTTGTAGAGTATATCTTGCCCCTGGACACTTCCTCTCTGTCTCTCTTTGCTTCCCACATGCTGTTGCTACCATGTTATTCTGCCTTATCATGACACCATAGCAATGTAGCCAGCTGACCATGGACTGAAATCCCTGAAATCATGTGCCATAGTTAATATTTCCTTCTTTTACATTGTTTATGCCAGGTGCTTTGTCACAGTGATGAAAAGTTCACTTAATACAAGTCTTCTGTGAAAACAGTTGGACAAGTTCATTACTGAGTCCTGGAAAACATAGGTTCATCATTGCTTGTGATTTATGTACTTAACACCTGGCAGGAATCTGGTCTGGAGAGGTATTTTTCTCCTTTTCAGTTTACAGTGTCCTGTCAGGAGTAGGTAAGAAGTAGGACCACTGTATTGGAAGCATCCTCAGCTGATCCAAACATGAGAACATGGGGAAAGAGAAGAAAGAAACTTCAGCATACAGTCAGATAAGCCAAAGTCAGAGAACAAACTTGTGTAAAGCTGACCCAACAATTTGTGCTAAAAAAGATTATGTGGTGCCAGGAGTGTTTTGGGTGATAACAGCTCTTTTATATTGGGTGTCCTATTCCTGTATTCTATGTATTCTTGTTTTACTCTCACTTTTTGGTAGAATATACAGTCTAGTATAGCCTTTCTGTGCTGGAGTCTGTGATAGAAGTAAACCCTACAGGAAGTTATTTAAGTAAATATTTTCTCAATTCCACCCCCCCATACCTCCAAATGATACAGTACATTGCTGGAGACATAATAGAAGCATAGTTAATTTATCTTGATCAATGTATGTCTTAGTACATTAGGCTTAATTGTATTTTAGAAGCCCAGATGAGAAGGGCTACTCTCATGAATTCTTTAAAAACACCTGCAGTAAAATTTTGGAAATTTTTATTTTTGAATTTTGAATTTTGACACCTGCAGTGTTTAAAAATATCTTTAGTTTACCTTATTTGTAATTGATAGTTTGACTGGGTTAGGAATTCAAAGTCATAAGTCATTTTCCTTCAGATTTTGAAGGCATTGCTTATATTCTCAACCTGCTTCCAGTGTTGCTGTTGATATCAATGACCTATCTAACTCATGATCTGAAGGAACTTGGCACTGTGAATTATATGCAAAAGGATTATTTGGTTTAAATTTTTGTCGCTGCTTTGTGATTTGGCTTTCTTGGATCTACAACACCATCACTACTCATTCATCTGAGGGTTTCAGTGTCAAATTTCTGTTGCTGATATATCCTCTTCTAGATAAATATTTTTGGGATATATACTCATACTTGTTTATGTTCTTTAAAGGTTTTACGAGGGAACACATTAGTTCACTATCTTCATTTTGCCATTTTAACCCAGAAACAATGTAGATTTTATATTAACTGATTTGATATTCATAACAATCCTATTACATAGATGCTATTAGCATTTTGTAGACAAGGAAAAGGAGACCCAGAGATAGAACTGGGAATTGGACCCAGACAGTTTAATTTCAAATCCTGCATAACTATTATAGGATAATGCCTTTTATGATACTGTATTGTTTTTGCCTTGAAAGGCAAACACCGTTATATGAATTAATTAAGATTATTCTTTACAGTTACTGGTAATTTACATTTTATGACATAGAGAAAAGCAAAACAAAAACCTGTTGCAGTTGTGGCATTAACCATAAACTTACTTTTCAATTTAATTTTGAAATGCCTTTGCCTAAGAAAAACTATGTCATTGCACAGGAAATTCAAGTTTTAACCATGGTAAATAAAGGTATTTCCATTTGTTACTGTGATGATGAAGTTGCTTTTTTTTTTTAAATAAAAGTAGATTTTAAATGTAAAAAATAATTGGTAGATTATAAGTTTTGAAAAGTTTAAATGTAATGAAGAGGAATTGCAGTAGTTCATCTGTTTAGAGGGAGCATGTCTTAGAGAGTACAGCAAAGGTTTGCCTTAACACCATCCTAATGACTCATATATCCCTGCCATAGATAATACTTTCATGTTTATTCTCTGCTTTAGCTATTGCAGTCCATCAAAATTACATGTGAAAGAATACCTTTTCCTTACGAATTCTTAGTCATAGCTGAGGTAAGCAGCAGATTATATATAAATCTAGAAACTTCAGGAAAGATAAAAGATGTTATGCTGAGATCCATGTTTGAAGTAAGTAAAAGCTGAGAAGGAAAGAGTCAGAAGAGGAGAGAATTGTGGCCAGATACTACAAAAACGTAAAATATGATAAATAGTATTGCCTTTTTTGAGAAAAGAAGAGATACTGACTTTATTACTTCATCCTGAATGGCTAGTTATTGATTTTGCTTTGTTTTTCAAAAGCAGCAATTCAGTGCAGAGCATTACTTGCTTGATTTAAAAAAAAAGGTAAAACATTAGTGGAATAGCCTCTTTAATCTGCACATTAAAAAAATCTGCAGCCTGGCTTAATGCCTTTCTTGTCAGTTTCTTTTTCTGTTTATTGCTGATTTGACAGCGTCTAGTCCTCCTTTGCTGTTAAATGTGTGTGTGTGTCCTTTGTTTGTGCTGGTGGGTTTGCTACATTTGAATGAGAGAGAAAAGCCTGTCTTTGCCATATTGGTCTAATTAGCCTTCTGGATGAGCATATACATTAAATAGACTTTATATAAACCATGAAAGAAGACAGCTCACAACAACGTAGATTTTCTTCATGTACTGGGGTTTCGCCTGTTTTATTTCCTCCACGAATTGATGGCCGAAAGCTAGTCCGGAATGCTTCATTTGGAGGATACAATGAACTTTCTCCTTCCTTGCCAGGTTCGTTTGTTTTATCTTGCATTCTTGTCTTAATTTCTTGCAGATTTTTCTTTCAAATAAACTAGGCATTTTAATATCTTAAAACTGTTTCATTTAAACAAATAATTCTGTAGTAAAAGCTTAGGTTTCAATAACTGCTTCTGTAAGGCTTGGTTTTTCCTTATTTTCTATTATATAGTCTCTTCTGGTAAAACTTGAAAATTAGTAGGTATCTTGCATACTTATGGCATAAATTTTTACTTTAGTTAAAATAAATATTATGATCCTTCGATAAAATTAAAGCCTTTCTGAATTTAAGATAAATGTAAAATTCTATGAATAATAAATGAATTGCACTGAGGTTTTAGCAAATGAAACCCAAACATTTAATGTTGATATTTGCTATTTTCTACAAAATAATAACTACAATTGATGTTTTTAGTGCATGGGCTGTAATCTTACTATTTTATTACTATAATCTTTTAAGTCCTGACTAAAGTGAAGTTTTCTACTTAAGTATAATTTTTGAAATACCTTACTTTCTACTTGTTTGATGTATTTGCATGCAACTAATTTTTTTGCTAAGAAAATGTTATGCTATTTTAGGGTGAAATTAGGTATTTGACAACTATGATTTAGGTTTTAAATAATTGGCCAATGTAATGTAGATATAAATTGATCTTTTATCATTTTAGAAGGATTGATTGTAGCAAATACTTGGATATATGTTTTAAGTATAGGTAATTTTTTCTATTTTCAAAATTTGAAACTTCTGCATAATTATATCTACTCTTAAAATTATGAAATTCTTTTAAAATTATTCTTTAATACTCATGATGAAGAAATACTGACTTGAATGAGTGCTTGCTTTAATCATTTCTTTTTTCTGATACATTTGTTAAATTTGAATTAAATTGCTGATTTTTAACATAACTTTCATTCTTGGCCTTTTGTGAATATTCATGCCAACAATTGGTACATACATTCTTTTGAGATGCCTGGGCAATTAAATAAATTACTACAAATTCACTGATTTCCTTTTGTTTTCTAACATTGTTTTCCAAGAGAATTAGAAACCACAGTCCTAACTGTGCCTGAGTGGCATAATATTTAAACAGCCTTCATAATCCCTGCAGAGTCTTCTTAGCATAGTGTGGTTACTGTTTTGCATCTTTCTTATGTTCTCAAGTGGTGTATTTTACTGTCTGTCTGTATTCAGAAGTGGCCTTGAAAAATGCAGTGTACTGAGTTGCTTAAATGTTGTTAAATACTATCTTTGTTTTCACAGTGAGTCTTAGTTCCATTTCTATATTTTTCTCTATCTCCTCGGTTATATTTTTTTAAGCCAACAAGCTTGCTAGCACATGCTGTTTGCTGACTTTCATGGCACACATCTACTTAGTATTAAAGAATAATCAAGTGATCTTGATAAACAGTAGAAAATCTCAGTTTTAAAAAGTTTGCTTTTTGTTTACTTAATTAGATAATGGAAGCAAATTTTCATCTGGTCAAAGAATATATTTAAGGTCATTTTGATGATTTAGTTTTAAATAACAACTGAATGTTTCCTTTGTTTACTAATTCTTGAAATAGAGAAAATCATATTTATAAGAATGATCCCATAATCTCCATAACACAACCAGTTATGATTAAAAAAATAAGCTCTTTAAAATGTCTGCTTTACTTCATCAACTAAGTAGCAGAATGAAATTTAGTATTTCAAAGAGTGGCTTTTTGTTATGTATTTAAATTAAAAGTAAAAAGTTACGCCTAATTTCTTCTGAGACACTTCATTTTATACAGAAAAAATTATGTTAGATGCATTTGTTTTCATCTAACAATATTAGAGAAGTAGAGCTTGGCGCTACATTACTGATATTTAAAGATAGCTTTATATTAGGGCTTTGAGCTCAATTCTTTTTGCATTTTAATAATCCTTAGGAAAATCAGGGTCTGTCTCTCTCTTTCCTCTCCCTTTCTTGACTTCTACCTTGAGAAATGTTTTAATTTAGTCTTAGTAAGCTATACCATAGATGACATTCCAATCATGTACTCATAACACTATGACACAATGTTTCTTTACTTCACGTGTGATAATCTGTCTCTTCCTTTAATTTCACTATGGTCATTGTACCAGTCTCTAGAATAGTACCTAAAACTTGGGGTAAATAAACTTTGGCAAAGAAATCACGTATAAAAAAGTGTAAGCCTAAAAGCATGGAGTTTTTGTGGTGTATTTTGACTGCTTAGGATTGCCTTTCTGTACAATTTCTTGATTCTTAGCTGTGTTAAATACAATAAATATTGAGGTATTAATTCTAAATCTGCATTTGTAGTTATACATCTAATCTCATTTTAACAGAACTGAAGCAATATAAATCTTGCTTTATTATATCTAAACATTAATGATGAATGAACCAAGCTTGTTATTGAAGTATCATAAAAAGTCCATTCCTTGTCCATGATGATAGTACTTGTATACTGTTAATAAATCAGAAATTATAGGGCAGAATGCTAATTTATTGAGAAACAATATTGTATTGCATTAATAAGAGAAAGTAAGCCCTGTGTGCTTAAGAATGTGATTATCTACTACAAAATTTAGTTGTAGATGAGAAACTGAATGGCCTACATGCTAACAAAAAAAACTGTACTACAGTTATATAAATACATAATAAAAGAGTTATGTTCATTGGAATTATTGTGAGCCTGTGACTACTCCCAAAATGAAAAGGATCAGAACAAAAAGATATAATAGACTTTTTTTTTAACCAAGTTAAATGATTATTTTTTGGGGGGGTTGAACTATAACTAGGAAATTCATTTTTATTTGCTTTTATGATTAAAAGTATATGTGTATTTTTTCATTAGAAAATACTGTAACAGTGTCTTCAAACTCGTACACATTTTCCCTATAGCAAAACAGAACCACTAAGAGTTAAGTTGCTTGCCCAAGGTTACACATCTAGTGAACTGTATACTGATGCTTAGAAGGTGGTAGCCTGACTACATAGCTTGATCCCTTACTTGTCCCATTTGCTTTATTATAAGCAGTCATTGTGTGTATTATATTTTTTATTTGAATACCTGACTTTTCTCTACACGGTAGCCACTTTTGAAAAAGGGAATAATAGGGAACAATGTTTTCCCAAACATCTAGTGCAGTGCAAGACACATAATAGGTATACAACAAATATTCATATTTATAACAGATGAATTCATATTTACTTCTTAGTTGACTGAGGGTTTGCTGTCTTTCATTCTAATATTCATCCTTCTGAATATCTGCTATTACTATGGGTTTGCTAACTACAAAGAAATATCTAAGCGTCATCCTGAATGTACTGAGACCCTATCTCAAAAATGAACAAAAAATGAGGGTGTGGGTGTGGCTCAGGTGGTGTAGTGCTTACGTAGGAAGTAGGAGCCCAGGTTCAATCCTCAGTACTACAAAAACCCAGCTTTTTATAAATACACAAAAGATCTGAAGAGGTCCTTCACAAAGAGAAAATTATAAAATAGTGAGAAAGTGTTCAACATCATTAGTAATCTGAGACATGAAAACTAAAACTTCATTGGTAAGCTATAGATCCACCAGATGGGCAGAAATATTAACAGTTTATAATATGTTGATATTTCCATGGATATGCAGAAAACTTTTGTACACTTAAGCAATTTGGAATCATTAAAATTAAAGATACACATTCTATAACCCAGAAATTCTGCTTTTAGGTTTTAATGAAGTTTTTTTAAAGTATGGATATTTCGACTATGATACATTTCCAAGAATACTCATAGCACATTGTTCATGAAAAGGAAAAATCAGTATCAGTGGTAGAATGGATACATAGTGGTGTAGTCATGTAGTGGGATTCTAATCAGCAGTGCAATATATGTGTGCTTGTCCCATTGCACTCATGTATTTCAGGTTTATCCTTGTAGAATTTGTTTAGTGCTGGTAGAGTGGCTCCAGTGGTAAAAACACCTACCTAGAATTTGTTTAGCAATAGGCAATACTGATAATGCTCAACAATAATTGAATGCATACCTTGCAAAGTACTATCTATGCTAAGTGTTTTATATGCATCTTCACCTAATTCTCACAGTAAACACACTATTTTATTGATTGATTGATTGATTGATTGAGACAGGGTGTCATTGTGTTACCAGGCTGATCTCAAACTCCTGAGGTTAAGTGTTCTTCCTCCCTCATCCTCTTGAATAGCCAAGACTATAGACATATGCCACAACACCCAATTCAGGTTTTTTGTTTTGTTTTTTAAGTTCATTCCTCACTCCAGGTTTATTTCCCCAGTCGTCTTTTATCACATACTCTGGAATATTTGTCCAGTTTGACAAGAGGTGTAAAAAGTTTGTTGGGTAGATTCTGTCAAGATTCTTTGTGAGAAACTAGCTCACTAGAATAAAAGCTTTGTGAGGACTGATTTCATACAAGTCCTTTGTTGCACAGAAAAGAAGTATTCAGCTTGATGCTGGTAGGTTCAGGAAAAGAGTCCATTGCCTTTCTCAACCTTAATTAATTCTAAAGAAGTATACTTAGGTGACCCTTTAGAGGTCTGAAAATCATACAGTCTAAAACTATATGTAGCATCTAGGCTTCTTGCACTAATATGTATAGAATATAATGTATATGTGAAATTAAATGATACATGTTTGATTTTTAACATTAATGACTATATATGTTCCTAAGTTGTAATACAGAGATACTGACTTTTTTTTTCCTCAAAGGTTTTGAAAGAGGGAAGGAAGACATTTCTCAAAATAAAGATGAATCTTCACTTTCTATGTCAAAGAGCAAGGTAAGCTTGTTGTCCCTAATACACAATTATGGCATTTTCCTTAAATATTATTTAATATGAAGGGACTAAAACTAAAATCCTAGCAAACTTAATATGGGATGTTTTTATGTTGGTATGTGTAAACTAGCATGAATGAAAAAAGTAAAATTCTGCACTGAGACTGATTTAAGTGCTATTGATTACTTGGGAAAAATCAGTGTTCTCTCCAGAATGATACTGTTTCTGGTATGTGTGCTACAGCAATAATTGTCAAACTGGAGTCCGAGGGTTCCAGTTAGAGATAATCTCAGGCTTCATGTCTTTAAAAGAAGGATTCATAAGTGTTTGAGTTTATTTGCATGACAATCAAATTACATACATTATACCTGTTTAAAGGCCAAAGGATTTTGCAAAAATAGCCTATAGTTAAAAGATATTTTCTTCAAATAAGACATACTTCCTAAGTCAGTATATCTTAAACTAGGATACTTGTATATGCTTAGGTCTGTTGAGAATTTTTTCTTTAAGAGTACATATTCAGAATTGAGAAGCACTATAATAATACAATGGTTTCCCTGTAAATTTGTGGTTCAATTAATTTTCTGAATTTGTCAAGGGATTTGACTTTTGATTGTTCCTTCTGAGAAGGGTTTGTAGCAGCAGAAAGAATTTTTATGTTTGTGGAATCAAACTTCAATGACTGTTTCTGAAACCAGAGAAGTTTCCCTTTATTTTTTGCTTCATTCTTAGGAGTGGTTGAGAGAATTATACCATATGTTTTGATGTCTTATTGTATACACATATTAATCACACTTAAGTATTCACTACATAAAGGTCTGTCTGTTATATATGTAAAGTATTTAGGATAGAAGTTAATAGTACATACATAAGAAATGCCTTGATCATGGAGGGGAGAAAATACTTCTTTTCCTGCTTATTCAGAGTTCATTGCTGAGACCTTCAAATAAGAAGCAGATTAATAAGAGAAATGCGTGCAAATTTACTTAATATAAGTTGTATGTAATATAGGAGCCTTCAGAAATGAAGACCCAAAGAGGCAGGAAAATCTGTGTATGTTTATGCTTTGTTTGATAAGCAGACAGTCATGTAGAAATATGAATGGATAAAGAGTATAATGATTTAATGGCAATAAAATTAGGCCTATCTGTTGAGATTCTTTTTGGTGACTGTGTCTTTGGATTCTTTCTTCTAAGCCTAGGGTAGAGTATCTGCTTTAAGGGAAAGTTAGGAATTCTGTGGCTTGCTTCAGGGGAGAGATAAAAGATGGTCAAAGCATGACCTTCTTGCTTCTGAAATTTTTCACTTTCATTCATTTTGAAATATACAGTATACCAGGATGCTGTATTTTGGGTATCTGAGCCCTGTCCATTACTTTACATGGTTTGTGAATTAAAGAATATCAAAGAAGGAATAATATATCTTGGCTACCATAGATAGAAATATAATGAAATTAAAGTATTTTTCAGACTATTTTCAAGCAGTTAATTCCAGATTTGGTGACTATATATAATGATATTCTTACTCAGAAGCCTAAAACATAAACACAAAGACCTATGCAGCACAGTCACTTATTTTACCATCTATATGCAGCTGTTAGGGATTGGGGGTAGGAGTAGGGACCTGAAAAGGAACTTTGTATACCTTAATGGAGCAATGTACATTAATGTAAACAATATATGCTTTAGAACTATGTTTTCTGTAAAAGAGCGATAGTTTTATGTAGGTCTTTAAATTCAATTAAATAAATTAGAAATTTATTTCTTCAGTTACAATAGCCATATCTCAAATGCTCAGTAACTGTGTATGACTAGTGACTACCATGTTAAGCAGCCCAACTCGTCTGCTGTTTAGGAAGTTCTGCTGGATAGTGCTTCTTCTGAGTCAAAAAGAGTGAGTTTAAGTCTTAACTCTAATCCATTACCTATGAATTTCTAGATGCTAACTGCAATGATAATAACAGCTGTTTCTTGTTGAGTGTTTACTGTGGTGCTATATTAACTCACAACAATACTAGAAGACAGGCTTTATTGGCCCCATTTTATAAGTGAGCAAACTGAAACTCAGAGAAATTAAGTAACCTTCCAGGGCTCAAAGTAACTAATAACTGGTAAAATTGGAATTCAGAATGGCTTCAGTTTTCTCATCTGTGCGTAAAAGGTAAGATCTACCTTTCAGACTGTGATGCAGAAAGTCCCTGACAAGTATCTGGTTAGTAGAAAGTATTTGAGAATTTATTTCTTATTCTGAATAAAGAATTATAGTGAGTAAAAAAGATTAACATGGCAACTATTTGGTATTTAGTACAATAATACTCATCCTATTATTTTTCAAGAGCTAAAACTTACTGATTCTCTCCTAATTTAATCTTAGTTTATTCTGTTATCTTAAAAGATTTATAGTAACTTAATTTCTTTCTAAATGTTTTTAATATGTAACCCACTCTTATTTTTCATAACATATTTCAAATTTATGCACTTGTCATTGAGCCTCAATCTCATGAAATTCTGAAGTTTTATTCTTACATAAGGAACTTTGGGGAGCAAAATTTTGTATTCTGTCCATGATTGAGCCACATAACTAAGGCCATCAAACAATTTTAACTTTATAATTTTGTTAATCTAATGCAGAGAGCATCAATACTGTCAATTTGGTTTGTTATTTCTTAAAATTATAATTAAACCAATAAGCATAATGGAATATACCCTCCACACCCTCAAAACATTTTTTATGTAAAGCCAGTTTCTTCTTCATTTATATCTCTTCCTAGGCATTTTCATCATATGAATAAGTAAATTGAAAAAGTCAGTTAATCAAAATATCCCAAAGAAGCATTTTTAAATGAATTTTTAATTGCTTTTATCTCCATGTAAGGAGTGGCCAGCATAAGTAATGTATCTGGTGAAATAAAAGGAATCCTGTTACCAGGATAAAGGATTTCTGGAACACAGATCTCTTAACTTGGTCTTCAAACCATCTGTGTACTTGCCCATAGGCTTGCTAAGTCAAATACTGATTCAGAGATTTAAAAATCCTTTCCATCCCCAAATATCTTGGTAATCACAGTAACTTATCATTGTTGTTGTTCCTTGTATCTGCAGGATTTTGTAGTTTCTAAAGGAAATCACATCATATATTAGTGCTCCATATTTTAGAGCATCTGCAATCCATAGTCATAAACCTGAAACCTAACTTATACCAAGTACTACATTAAACACTTTACGCATGCTTCCTCATTTAACCCTTCAAGCAACCCTATGAGTTAGTAGTAGTGTCCTCATTTTAGAAATGAGGAAACTAAGACTGAAGAGATTAAATAACTTCTTAAAAGTCCTATAGCCTGTACAGACACAACAGTTGAAGAGAAAAAGAAAAAGAGAGAAAGAACTAAAAAATATAGCATGCTACACATTCTAAGGCCATTTAACAAAAAAGCTAGAAGTACTCAACATGAAGTCCTATGATCATCATTAAGATAGTGGTCAGTAAAGTTTATGAAGGAAAGGAAACTTAGTTTAGTAAAATATTTCCAACAAAAATGGTTTATGGGTTGGTCTGTTAAAGGTATGTTGATCAGAAAACTGAGGTAGTAATGTATAGACAATGGAGCTTGGTCACTGGCTCATTGTTTTGTCAAACTAGACTGTACAGTCTGGCAGAGACTGCTAGAAGTATTTGTACTCAGATTTATCAGTCTTATGCAACATCCTTGTGGCTTGCTTGTTCCTATTTCCAATGGAATATTTTAATAATAACTAAGCCAGGCCTTCTCATTTGGAGTTGTTGGAAAAACATTCTCTCATTCATAAAGATAAATCTTACATATGAGTATAGTTCTTATACTATATGAACAGTTTTTTTTTTTTTTGTTTTAAATTAGAAATCAGTAGTGGAATTGGTAAGTGCCTGAGGCTAAGAATTATGTAGACCAGGGTACAAATTCCTGCTCATTTATTTGGTGGCTATATGACTTTGGGATAATACTTAAAATCTGTAGTTTTAGTTACTCATTAGTTAAAGGGGAATACGACTACTAGCTCATAAAGTTGCTTTGAGTATTAATGAGATAGTCCATATAAAATGTTTAATATAGTACTTGATAAATACTAGATAGCCATTAACTTTTTTTCCCTTTTATTTTATCATTGTTACATTTACTTACATGTGTATACATTATTTGGGCCAGCTCCCCCTGCCCCCCAGCCGACGATTTTGTTGAATAGAAAACATAAGAGATACTAAGAAAGACAGTGTTTTTGCTAGTTGGAGATGAAGATAGCTATACAAAGAGGTTCCTAGCGTTGCTTCCATGCAAATGTGTATTGCAACCCACACTGGTTATCTCTGCCGGACCTCTTCACTACTTCCTGGTCCCCTTCCCATAGTGGCCTCTGCTAGTTTAAGAGTACCTTATTTGCTCTACACTGAGCACATCAAACACATTCAATTTTTAGGTTTCCTTCCCTTTCCCTATTCCTCCTGTGCAGGTATTCCCCTTACTGTGTGACCCATGTCCAATATTATTACTGCATTTGTTTGGGGTCTATAATCTGCATTTGAGGGAGAATATGTGATATTTGGCCTTCTGAGCCTGGCTAACTTTGCTTAAGATGATGTTCTCCAGTTCCATCCATTTATTTGCAAATGACAAAATTTCATTCTTTTTTGTGGCTGAGTAAAATTCCATTTTCTTAATCCATTCGTCAGTAGTGGGGCATCTTGGCTGTTTCCATAGCCTGGCTATTGTAAATAGTACTGCAGTAAACATGGGTGTGCAGGTGCCTTTGTAATAACTTCAGTTGCATTCCTTTGGGTATATCCCTAGGAGTGGCATTGCTTGATCATATGGCAGATTTATGTTTAGTTTTTTAAGAAGCCTCCATATTGTTTTCCAAAGTGGTTGTACTAGCTTACATTCCCACCAGCAATGTATGAGGATTCACATCCTTACCAACATTTGTTATTGGTGGTGTTCTTGATGATAGCTATTCTAACAGGAGTGA